ATGTAAAGGAAACGAAGATGGCGGAAAAGTCGTTAAAAACCAAAACAAAGATCGTCAACAAAGACATATAAAAATTCGTGAGGTCCGTTGGTTCGTTCCGTGGCTTAATTGGCTTAGCGTCTGCCACGGTTTGCTGGGAGACGTTGGTTCGAATCCAACCGTCTCGAAGTGAAAGTCTTCTACGTGTTCGATCTTTGTTTAATAGTTATAAAAAACTAGTGTTTAATGGAACAGATTAATCTGATATCGAAAAAAATGGAGAATTCAATTGAAATTGCAACGATTCGACGGTAGAAATATTCTTAGCCAATTACTGCCACTTAATCGTTAAAGAAAATTGTTTCCATTTTCTACACAATTCGCAGAATGACTCTACCAACATTTTATTTTAGTTACGACTCTATATCCTTAAGTTATTATTTGTTTCTCTATGTAATGTGACTATACAGTGCAGGAGCTTATTGTATAAGAATGAGGCTAAAGTATACTAGACTTTTGGCTAGACGGCACGGCGACCACTTCAAATTGAGGTTGGAACAATCTTAGGCGAGTTTTTGGCAAACTTTCCACGGGTAATGGTTTCAACTAATGACTAGTTAATGGAAAATATATTAAGTTATTTGGAATTTAAGAGACTTGGATGAGCAAAGAGTGTATAATGTTTCTGAAACTTCAGTTTTAAGATGTTAATGAGTAACTCCGTTCGTAGACGTGAGATGCTTCAGTTTAGTAATTCTATCTGTACGTGTAGAATTGCTAATTTACGTTTTTTTATGATATATAGTGACGGGATGTACAAGTCCTGCCCTTGGTGGTAAGCAACTCTGAGGGCACTACCACTGCGCCCATCACCCTGAGACATAAATTGACAAGTTTACCTGTAATTTCACACACTTACCCTTTAAAATCGGAAAGCAGTAATGCTCGCATTATTGCTTGACGGCAGAAATAGGTAAGTAGTACTTCCCTGGACGAACTCTTTCACAAGGCACACTGCTACTTAAATAACGCAGACATAGCAATATGTAGCTAATTCACTATTAAAAGGATTTATGTAACTGAAACAATATCGTGTGTTATTGACCTACTAACAAAGTAAATAAAAACAAGGCTCATTCTGTTCGGTGTTATGTCGGGCCGGGTGATGTTATGAGAGATGCTTAGTTTTCCATAGTGATGTGTAATATTACGTTAGATTGAAGCGTAATATTCAAATTTGTAATATTACTCGCATTACTTACACATTTCTTGTGTATACTTCTCGTGTAAGTCTAAATTTCTAGTTACGAAATCAATATTATGGCAAAATTTCAAATGATTTAATTTAAAAACCATATTTTCAAGCATATATCAACGACCTCGATGGCCCAATGGTTTGCACTGTGGGCGTTGGGTGTGGAGGTCCCGTGTCCGATTCCCGGTAGGACCAATTTGGGAAGTGAACTTTTGTAAATTGGATCTGGTCTGGGGTGTTCTGAGTGTTCTGGTACTCACAGTAGAAAGAATACCCTAGTTTGAGACCAGGTAATTAGTGCGATTGTTTGGTGCATTATTGAATAGTGCGAGGTTTTCCGCATAAAAATGACGACTTTACTAGTTACTTTTGTAAAGATATCGGCACATATTCAGAAAGATACCTCCAAAACCCTCTTTGACCCTATAATCTTTTATTACTCGGATAGTGTGTTAAACGCAAATAACATATTCACATAACAATAATATGATAGCAAATATCACAACCGGAAGTCATATCAAATTTTATTTACTTTGTTTAATAGCGCGGCAGTCATTCCATTTTCGAGCCGGGGTGTATTTTAATTCTGTTTGTCCAGTCAAAACAAGGGCTCTGATCCGCGTTCAATTAATTTAGCAATGTGTCCGGGGCTTGCTTTTTGTTGTGCCCAATTTAATCAAATCAGTATAAGTACTGTTATGTATTAACGACTCCTGACCAATTTATCGTATCTATTACCAAAGATTCAAATTAAAAAAAACCATGGTGACGCCAACAATACCGGCAAAGAAACCTGTGGAGAAGCCAATTGACAAAACCACCATGCTATTCAATTATTTTTTGTGAAATTACTCCACTAGTTTGTTATAATTATTAATACAAAGATCGAACACTTATAAATTCCTTCGATCCGGCCGACATTCAATAAAACACTTAATTACAGTGAATAGCCACATATCTAGCCAGAGCTGGTAGCTGTAAAGGTGCCTGACTGGGTGACGAAATACTTTCATAGATTTCTCATAGATGGCACTACGACTAAAAAGTCGTTAAAACCAAATACAAAGATCCGACAACAAGCACATGGAAAAATTCGTGAGTTCCGCTGGTTGGTTCCGTTGGCTTAGTTGGCAAAGCTTCTGGTACGGTTTGCTAGAAGACGTCCGCGTCGGTCCGAACCCGGCCGGATTGAAGGAATTCTTTCTAAGTGTTAGATAAATAAATGTTATAACTATTGACAAATATTGAAGAAATCGAATGAACTAAAGATGACGAAAAAACTATTACAACTTTTCAATCTATCTGTACAAGTTATTAAGACAAGTTGGTAAGACAAAATGGGTATATCAAGATCGTCTATGTTGACAATGAATAATTTTGTAGAGAAGATTGCTAATGAAGCTAGAAGGCTGATTGATTTTACAAAAATACACACAGTGACTAGCCGTGACGTATAGACCGCAATCAAATTACGAATACCTAGAGAATTGCGAAACATTTGAATATAGAGTTGTTGAAAGCTATTACCACCTATTACTATGTACCTTAATAAGCAAAACACTTTGACATTAAAGTAATTATATTGTAAAAATGATATTATGTGAGTAGCTTAGTAGCAATTTTAAAACACCCATAAAAACGTTCAAGTACTAAAAACAATAAATAACCTGTCAAAGTCTAGTGCAGTAGAGACATTTGTATTGTCTGATATATATAAATAATTTAATATAATATATAAGAAATAATATATAAAAAAAAAAATAAAATAATATATAAATATAAAAAATAATATATAAGTAAAGTATAAATAATAAAGCATTTTAGGGAATGTCTCTTGTCTGTCTCTTGTCTGTATCTTTCTGGATTTTAATCGCATATATTTGTTTTTTCAAACAAACCAACGTTTCGAGCCCTTTACAGGCCCCATGGTCAGTCAACCGTGACCATGTGTAACCATCGCGAAAATCTTAAAACTCAATAAAGCATTTTGTAAATTTTTTGCAAAAAAAAAATCATTTCATAAAATAAACATGTACCTAATTATTTAGTTATGTGCTCGTTTTTACGTATTTATCATATTTTTTATTTTTGTTTTCTTCAAGCAGTTGTAATTATTTTTGGGCAATGACGTCACGGTGTTATCATCTTTTAAAAATCTAGATTATAAAGTGGAAATACGTTCAAAATAATCAAAAGATGTGCTTTGAGTAATTTAATGTTCTCTATAAATAAATAATATGGTAGCGATCGGCCATCCGTTCACTCGCATTACTGACAAAAATAATGACATAAATACTGTTCCGTTATCTTCCATTTCATTTGATGCGTACTTGTATACTCTTTATTATGTTTAGATAGGTTATAAAGCTTCAGAAACATATCTTTTTAACTTTATGGTTGAGGTCTATGTTGGCGTGAATGTCAGGAACTTATACAGACTGTTACAAAAAGTAAAGGCTAATTGAACTACACATTAGTATTTTAATATATTTTTCTGTTCTATACATTGACTTACAATTATATGGACGTCGAGTCCGCGCTAAAAAGTGTCCGAACTTATAGGGCGTTAAAATCGTATACAGAGCGTCATTCACGCTTTAGTCTTCGTTTGTTCGACTGACAGCGAAGCAAGCAAAATTAGACAATACTGCGATGACGTTACAATTTAAATTCAACGTTTTAGCTTTTTCATATTCCTTTACATGTCACTACGTTTAAATAGGTGGACTTGGGACATTTTTTTCGTGGTTTTTGTATTAGACCCATCGTCCATTTATTTGTAAGTCAATGGTTCTATAAGTTTCCAATGTTTTAATATTTTTTTAAACTTTTTAACATTAACTTTTTTCTCTCTACGGATACTTTTCAACGCTTTCTTCGCGCTTATATTTCATAATTGACATGTTTTAATAATGAAGCGTCAGGTTCCTACGAAGATTGAGTTCTTTATTTAATATGTCCAGTGAGTCAAGGAGGGACTTACCACATCGTCAAGCTCTCCTATAATAATGCAAAATCATTTGTACCTATTCTTTATCTTTTTCTTTCACTGTGTATTGTTTGATCTGTTGACTACTGAACAAATGATTGGACATTATTCGTAATCCGCCCAAAATAATGACTACGCGCTAATTTTGCAATTCCCAATTATTCGTTTGCTTTGAATACTTTCACCGTTTCTCTAATTCTGGGATTACGTTAATTTGTTCCATTATGTCCGGTAATGGAGCCTTTTCAAAATGATTATTATTATAATTAGAGATGTTTTACATTGAAATCATTGAGATTTGCGCTGTTAAATGTCAATAATGGACTGATAGAGTTTATTATTTTTAATCGAAATGTATGTGTACTCGTAATGTTGATAAATACATTTTTATAAATTGCGATCAATTTAAAAAAAACTTGAGCTCGAATTTGAGTATCTATAAATTTATAATTCAGTAATACTTCTGTTGTTTGTTAATAGCACAGACCAGATAATCAATACTCAACTTAATATAATGCCTTTTAAATTTCACCAGAATTATCATGCATACATATAATATAATAGAACATAATATTATTATTATGAATTTATGATTAATAAAAATTTTAAAATTATTATACGTTATCGAACGACCTAACGAAAAATCGGGAAAAAGTTTTGGTCCTTCGAGGCGTCATTTCTTTTGCATCGCGTGCAGTGCAGCGCTACCTTTCCGACGCCACGCCACGCCGTGTCTCATACTCTAATAGTTCCACAATTCGCCGCAAGGCCCGGTGTCGCCGCTGTCCAGCCAGTTTGCCGGAGCACTTGTGAGGGATAGACGTACGCACCTCGCAGCCCGCGCTCGCTCTCTCAGCGAAAAACTTTAATACTTACCTAAGTGTGTTGAAACATCAAAGACACACTTCAAGATCATCATGGACTCATCAATTCCAGTGAAATTTTCGTCTTTACAAAGTTTGTAAAGTTTCTATGAACGTTTTATTGTGCAATTTGTGGATTTTCTTTATCTCTGTATCGTACGTCAAGGTGTAACAAAAACACGAGTGATATTGTTAATTCTTTAAATCGAAACAGAAGACATTCCGTTGGCCGACAGTTTGAATTTTCAGTTTTTCTTGTTTTACGAGGACGCATTCGAGTAGCGTGTTAAAAAGAGACAAAATGAGGCACAGGCGCATAGGAGCGACAGGTGTGGCGGCTTTAGCGGTTCTCCTGGCTATAACAGGTAAGTTAATTTACAATCTTATTTCGAACATATCAAAACATTTGAAATACTTTACTGTAATACAAACCGTCAGGTCAAATACCTTCGTTTTATCATCGATTGCCAAAGTCGCACACATTGCCTTGTTTACCTGTGTGGTTATCGGCGTGATATAAAAACTGGTTCTGTCGCCGATACCGGTATGGTGTATGAGATAATAGAAATGATTCATTCAATTTGTAGGTTATGTTTTAAATAAGTAAAACATACTCTTATAATTATCTTCCAGGTGTATACGCTTTGTGTAGCGATATCAATTGTTTAAGCACGTGCAATCTATTGGTCATATTATTGGTATTGTAGAGCATGTTATAAATATTTTAAAACTTATCACTGAAAAGATTTCAATTGATTGATTACTTTTCATGATTTCATTTTCTGTTACTAATCAATGAGAGTTCATATAACAATACTTATTATGTCTATACATATATGCTATAACTTCCAATTGCATAAATTTGCTATATGTAATGCAAATTTTATAATGTTTACAACTTTATATTTACAATAATAATGTGCTAGACAACCACACAAATTGGTCTCGAACTACGAAATTCCCTGATGAGTACCAGGGGATTCACTCTAGAGCACTTCCCAGGATACACAGACCAGAACCAGTTTTTAAAAGTTCATTTCCAAATTTGGTTCTACCGGGAATCGAACACAACATCCACAGCATAAACCGTTGGGTCACCGAGGTTTTCAATCACATCTTTGTGCCTTATGTGGTGGAAATACTGGGACCCTTAAAGAGCTTTTCGTTTGCTTTCTCAAAATCTTTAGTGGCCAGAAGGCTGGTCTGTCTGCCAAAGGATAAGGTTAGCCATTCAAAGGGGAAATGTTGCCAGCCGCCTGGGATAGAATGCCCCTGGGCGGCTCTACCTTTCGAATTTTTAGATTTTAGATGTAAAACCCGGAAAAGAATTGATTTCTTTCCAATTTTCTACTTTTTGTTTTCTTACAGTATACTATTTCATTTATTTTATGTCATATTTATCTTTATTGGTCTTGAAAAGACAATTTATCTATTTTTCCTTCTAAGAAAAGACGTACGATTGACGAAACGTCTATCACATTGACAATCTTAATTGTTTCTGTTTCTTTCATTCACACCCATATAACTAGACTGAATTTGCTTAACAAAGCATTTAATTTACTTAATCCGCTTGTGAAAATCAGTAACGGTTCATCAAATGAGCAAGAAAGCGCGAACCTAGTTTGGTTAGAACAATTAGAAACTTAGCATCGACGCGTTGACGAGGCCTCGTTGTGCAAAAACCGTTCTCGTCCGTTATACACGACACTGAGCAGGTGGTACAAAGCGAACGTCTTCCTGGAACAATTGAGAATTCCACCACATTTGCTTTGGATGCATTCGTGCGTTACTTTCTCACCCGAACGCCAGCAATTCAATCACTCGGAAATCTTCATCCGTTCTTTTGTTTCAATACTCTAGTATGCTATTTGAGGACGCATGCTTCTAAATCTTCGATTTTCCTACGTATCAAGCAGTCTTACATGTACTTTCTTGTTATTGAGATTGTATGATCTTTTTATAATTTAGTCTCTTCAGACTCCTTCCTTCCTTCGATCCTTCGATCGAGATTTATTTCAATTCTGAGAATTTCTTACAATATATAGAAAAATTCAAACTTAACTAAAAGTAAACCGTTTACATGCTTCTCTATGAAAATTTTGTGTACATACATAAAATTACGACATTTTAATCAATTAAGGTTTTACTTAATATGTTATTTATATTTTTACTCATTATTGTTGGATTATATTTATACAAGCGGAACTTACTTTCGATTTAAATTTTTCGATCCAATATTCACTCAGTAATGAACAAAACTCTATGTTTAATAGCGCAATCCATTACAGGGTCCGTGTGCATATTCCATAAAATGATATTACTCGAGGCTTGAAATGGCAGTTATAATTTTACGTCTCAGTGAGCTAAAGGCGATAACATCACGAATATGAAAAATATCATTCGCAAAGACCCGTTTTAAAGTGATAGTGATTTTCCGCTTAATAGACAGCTTTGAAATGCGTGAGAAACGATCATCATTTCACTTTTCAAACTTATATTTTGAATTTCTATCCAGGTTAAGTTTGATAGTAGAATACCTTTATCTATATCATTTTCGACTCTGAACTCTCCAATAAGATTAGGTGTGACGATCCCATACAAAAGCGAGGCCAAATTAATTTAAAGACTTATCCGGGAAATTATTGTATCTATTATCTCAACACTTTGATGGATACAATTTATACAGAATCGGAGCATCTGCTATGTCGTTACCCTGTGTCATTTAAGCTTGTTAACGTCGCGAAGCTGGGGTAATGGCATGTTGACGGCTCTTTCCACGGCCATGATCGTTTAAGATTATGACTCTCTATGTCTTAGGAACAAACAGTTGCTGCATGATTATTCTGATACGATCTTTTAGAGACGTTAGATGTAATTGCCATCAGCCGTCCGTACCGAATATTGGATATTATATCGCACATGACAACTAACATAGCAGTGTTGTCCATTCACTGTGAATTTAAATCGTATTTTTGAGATAAAAATAAAATAACGCAATTTTTAAGATAGTACTACTAGAACAGCTCCGCGTACATTGCAGCCTTAAACATAATATTTTGTGTATGGTATACCCCAGTTTTGTTTCGCATAGTGAAGCCCATTCGTCAAATGCCTTTGTTTTTCATAAACAATATAATTCAGCACCGGTATTGACAAATTGTTGCGACTCATGACTAACACGCGCGTACGATCTCATGATTTAATGTTGTTCCCACGTCCCGGTTTTTATTATTTACATAGTTTGAATTTGCGACCTTCATAATAGATAATGAAGAAAAAATCGTGAGAAATTTTCTCGTTGAAAATAAGAATGTTTATAGAACTCAAAGAATTATTCTAACTAGAAATTCAACTTCCTGAACGTTAAGTGTAATGTGAAAATTAATTTTACTCTAAGTATACTGGTTACCAAAGCTTCCTGAATACAAATAGCTACCCGGGATTCAAGACCCTTGTGATTGTGCAACAAACAGTGCACTATTAATACTGCCGGGCGGATGAACTGGGCTCATCCTATATCTGCACGGCAAATCAATGTCTGAAACATAAATCAACAACCAGTGTTGTTACTTGAACAGTTCGTCGGGTATATGACCAAAGCTAAACAATCGCTGTGCAATCAACAGTGCACTAGCTTCCTTCACGTTTGGATTCCATTTTCCACTTTACATCAGGTGGAATGCAGTGATCTGCCTGTCATGTATAAACAAAAGCAAATTCTTGACTTTTAGTAGGAAATGGAAGTTCTGCTTGGAAAGGTATTCAATTATCATCTTTCTCTCACTCTCTTTAACAACAATTTTGAGTTGAAAAGCAACATTATAGATATTATACATAAGTACGTTGGTGAATTATAGCATTTGAGTAGCCGAACTACACACACAAACCAAACATCATCGTTCATTATTTCATTACAATACTGAGTGATTTCTAAATTCGGTTCACGTCCACCGTCCTACAACATAATGCCCATAATTTCGAAAGTGCAGTTGAGTGAACAACGTAACTAAAATCCTAACAGTACAGATCACGAAGTGGGTCAACGCGATGACTGATGAATCACACCTGAACTGTGTGCATCAGACCCGCCCGTAACAGCATTACGTGACAAAATAATCTCGTTTTAGATTGAGATTTCTTAGTATAACACTTCATAAAATTCTTGCTTGACAAATTTTATTTCATCATTTATATTCCGAGCAGACATATGGTCCATTTTCAAAAAAGGAAGAGGTTCTCAATCGAGTGTTATTTTTGTGTGAATGTTAAGAGATTTTTTGATGAAAACATTTGTGAGCGGATTTTGATGATTCTTTTTTGTTGAAAAGGGGGTACCTCAGAAGTAATCATTCAAATTTGAAGAAAATATTTCATCTCTGAGGGTGGCAAATTAGGGGATGAATACGATTTATTGGCATATAGATATAATTCCAAAAACTTTTGTCGGTCTTTAGGTCTGTTCTTTTTTAATATAAAACTTATAATTATTAATAGAAAATTCATTTTATGAAGATGACGAATACTTTGACGTTATGCGTTCTAAGTGCTCATTATATCGTGATAACTTCAAACGGTATCTAGAAATGATAGTGAAAAGCGTTAATACAAAGATGCTTTACAAAGTCTTCAATTCTCTTTAATGTTTGTGTCCGGTATGAGACTATAAAATATCAAATCATGGGTTACTTAGAAATCGCACTACGTAATTGGGCTGGGTTATCAACCGATGTGAAGGTACGTTTTATCTTATCTAGTATAGGTTGTCCCCAAACAACGTGAAGTTCGTCGGTGTATGGTATTGCAGTTGTACTGGCAAAACCTGATAAACATATTTTTTCCCTTATTATTGAAGAATATTTTTAGTAAATTCCTTTTTTTCTAGAAGCTTCGAAATAACCGAACTATGCGAGTGTGCCTTCTTATATTTAACATAAAAGGCCAAGGTAATTATCGATTGCATAGTATTCCTAACATGGCCTTGATACTATTTTTAAGCAATGCAAACATCATCATCCATTTTTAGAAGTGCTGTAACTTTTCCAGGATATCCGATTTCCTATTACAAGTTCTTATCGCTTTCATATCGTGTTATAGAATTAGTAACCAGTATCTTTACTGTCATTACTTCGAACCTGTTCTCAGGGTTGGATTGCTAGATTGAAATCTATATATAGTAAGTTCAATTTAGCCTGGCTTTGGTTTCCAAAGCTACTTTGATTCAATGAAAGCTTTTATAGGAGTAAGTATATTCATCAGTAGCAGTAGAGCTTCTTTTGAAAGAGCTCTTTACCTATTTCTGCCGCCAAGCAAGAATGTGAGCATTACCGCGTTCCGATTTTGAAAGATATGTAAGGGTACTGGTGAA